GGTCTCATGACCACATAAAGTGGTAGTAGGCCCCACCAAAAAAATGATTTCTTTTTCTTCTTTTTTTTCATTTTTTTTTACACCACACACATATATATTTATACACATTTAATTCACAATCATTTAAAACACATTAAATAAAATATATGTGATGCAAATGGATCCAATTAAAATCTCCATATGTAACAATTCTGGTAGCGGGTCCCACACGGGACTGTCCAGCCCGAAAAATGAAAAAATGCTAAAATGATCACCCTTACATTTCAAAGAGTCATGAACTTAATAAAATACTCCAAACAACTCTCGAACACAACTAGCACACTCGGCAATGCCCGGCACGTAAAACGATAAAAGACGAAAATGCCCTTCACAACAACAAAAATTCCAGAAAAATAGAAAATGATGAAAAATGGAAATATTACATTTACAACATATTAAAGTTCTAAAATAAAAATAGCAAAATATAAATCTCCAATCCCGTCTAAACTTGTGGTGGATTGTCGTCCGCCACTTCCTTCCCGTGACCTGAAAAATGTTAAATATAAAGGGTGAGCAAATTACTCAGTAGGTGGTGCCTGAGACACACCTCTTGTGACCCAGTGAATGCAGGCAAGGAATAAAAATAAAGGAAAACGGGATAATGCTATACCGAGGAAGAATACGATACAATTACAAGGCTAAAAATAAATAATGTCATGCCATGAAATGCAATGCAGTGCTATGTCGCTCTCCATTTCAAAACCATCAATCACTTTTCAAACCATTAACATAACCCGTCCTTTAGTGACTCTGCGTCGACACAAGAGAAGGATTGCCTACTATCCCTAACCCTTGGTACCTCCGCGGCGTCATTTGGAGCCCATCTAGCTCAACCATGCTAGGGTGATTTCCCTAATTCCCTCTAGGTTACATTAACGCCACGGGCCTTTGGTACATCCTCGACATCCGGGTTTTACAAAATCACTTATAAAAAAAATATATCTTTCCCAAAACTCCTTTTCATTTCAAAACAATTATTTCCCATTTTTCCTTACCCAATGCTATGCATGAAATGTGTCATAAAATTATACAATTCTACTTCAACAACCTTGTATGCTTAATAAGGAAATTCACACATAACATCTCGTACTCACAATTAGTACAATTTTCAACAACAACATATTTAAATTAAGAACATAATTATTTAAGCATGCCTTTGTCATGTCCCTTCAACAAATCAATTATGTATACCATTTAAGCATGAAATTCACATAACTTATACAATTCAACCTGAACAACTTACATGCTTAGTAAGGAATTTTATACAAAACCTATCATGCTTACACTTAGCACAATCTCAACAATCACACATCTAAATTAAAAATATAATCATTTAAGCATGTCTATATCATATTTTATCAACAATCAACATACACATCACTAAACATGAAATTTACACGGAATTATAACTTATACACATAACATCAAGGAAACTTAGCATGAATTAATCATAATTTAACATGTTATACTACAAATTAAGAGAGAATAATTCACCAAGAACCAAGAGATTGTAGATTAAACACCCCTACCTCCAAGAAAGAGAAAACCCCCAAATTGAGCCCAAATTTTGAATTTCCTTGGGTTGGCCAAATGAGAAATTGCTTACATCAATGTGTAGATCTTGATGTGCCCTCTGTTTTGCCGCAAACGGCACCCAAAAACTCCAAGGAATGAGAGATTAATTGAAAATTGAAGCTTTAATGTGAAAAAAAACAAAAAAAAAAAAAAACACACACCAAGAATGATAGGAAGAAGAGAGTATTATGGGAGAAAAGATGAAATGAGGCCAAACATGGCCTCTTGGCCGCAAATATGGTAATGGTGGGTTCCACCACTAAATGATTTTCTTTTTGATTTATTTTCCACCATAAAATTTTCTATATATATATATATATATATATATATATATATATATATATATATGTTTCAATTCTATCATGGCCACACAATTTAGCACTTAAACAACTTACTTAAGCACAAAATAATAATGCATGGTATGCAAATGACCCGAGACGCAACTCCTGTACACAACAACTCTGGTAACGGGTCCCACCCGAGACTGTCCGGTTCGGAAAACGGAAAAATGCAAAAATGACCACCATTGCATTTCCAAGAGTTCTAAACTCAAAGAAATGCCCCAACTGACTCTCGGACACACCTGGCACATTCCACGGTGTCCGGCACACAAAACGAGAAAAGACGAAAATACCCTAAAAAAATTCAGAAAATTCCAGAAAATAAAAAATGGTAAAATTGGAAACTTTACAATCTACCCTCCTTAAAGAGATTTCATTCTTGAAATCTACCCTCCTTAAGAAGAAGGCCCACAGCCACACACTTTCCCGAGAAAACCTCACAAAACCCCAAAACCATAAACTCACTGACATTATTGCCTTTGACACCGGACTTCACCAGGCAATCATACACCACTACCACAAAATCCCAATGCATTTACCTCTCTCTTATCTCATCATAACACAAGACCAACTAAACTATACGCCTAACTTATAACGGACATCGGTCCACTCTGTACTACTACAAAAGGCTTCAAAACCCGAAAGAAGAATGGTCACCAAACCACCAAATAAGACAATATCCAACCACAACTCATCCTTCAAAGGACACACTAAATCCCAATTCTATACATTTCTATCAGACTAAGCACTCGCTATCCAACACGTAACTACACCATCACATAACCGCACCAACGACTACTAATCGCACTATACGATGATCACTATAATTATCAACCTCAAGATGACCAAACAACAATTCACCCAACAAATGCATAAACATTAGTCACCAAATCAGTAAAGCGCACTATCCTGTACCTAGGACACAAATTCTCAAAACAAGATCTTCAATAATCAATGATCGTACCACAAACCTTTTATCGGACACTTAATCCTACCTAATACACCTCGTTATCTATGACAACCACCTGAATCCACACTGTCACACCGACAAAATCTGCAATTCCGTGCTCTTACGGTTTCTGACAAACTAAAACAATCATGGACCTTTGGCCAGACATCGTGATAAAGATGGATTGACTCAGGATAAATGGTTGGCCAGGCCATTCTTATTATCGATCCGATCTCAACAGAGACGTGATTCCTATCCTCAGGTCTAAACCTTAAACACAACCCCACATAGTTCTTAAAACAATCACGGGATCCACGAAATCACTAATCAATCTGTCGCTCTACATAACCTCAATAACTATATAGTCACGTACCAACTCTAAAAACCCCAATCATGCCTCAATCATACAACCCTTAACAAGCTAAAAATAACATGGCATCGAACGTTAGAATCATCAATTAGCATAGGAGATCTCTAATCTTCTCAAAAACACCCATACCAGATAGACAACTCCATGTCATCATTCGGTTCAATTCTTACCTCTTCAAAGCACACAATACGACCGTCTCATACCCGAAACCTCAAAACCAAAGTCAATCATTCCTATTATTCATCAATAGAATCACACATTTACTTTCTCTATCACAAAATTCTAAAGCAACATCGACACTTATCCTCAAGACACTGCTCGAATCAAATGCCTATAAAAACACACGAGTACATGACTCACATCACATCACCTAATCATCCTCAAACTGCCGTTCACGACACATTTTCTAGCCATTACCACTAGTACTAAACATCGGAACATACAATCCCTATTCGACAACCTGTGCCTCACATTCTACTGATTAAAACCACTCTTAGATCAAGCACTACGAAAACCAAAGACTACACCTCTAACAGCATAACAAACCACACAAGGTTCAGCCCATCCGCGGACCTGCACAATTCCTAAATAAAGAGTAAGACTCACGATAATCAATGCCCTTGTTAGGACCAGAACAAATGGAAAGGGTAACGAACCTCGCTCTCACAAGAGACTGACGACTCGCACCTGAATGCACCCGACACCCTGTCACACGTTACTTACCAATCGTTCAACCGTGGACACCCAATCTCGCCTGATATGAAATGAACTCCATACACACAAGGAGAAGAACCAACTGGAAACTCATACGGGACTACGACCTTAATTCCAGGTGACCTCGCCACTAACGGACCGTCATATACTACTAACACGAAACCTCGCATACGCTACACCGAGATACTTATGCCACCCAAAACAAACCAGACAAAAGTACCAACGCCCACAACATACTAACACTAGAAATCATCACCGCGCGTTGGACACCGCATCCCATTCTACCCAGCAACCCCCAATGAGAACCTCTATATGACAATGTCATGCCAGTAAATCCTCAAAGACGAAAATGAGTACAAAACCCAGAATGCTCAATGCCCAACTGTCTCCTTAAAACCACGAACGATGCAATCAATCACTATTTTCTTCCCAAATACTAGGGTCACCCCTAAACCGACTTACTCTCCAATATAGGAACCTCAAGTCCTAACACCCCTATGATCATCCTTCCCAAAATAACTGCACAAACTCCAATCCCTTGGAAACAGCAAGCCTCCACTAACCAACCTCTCCCTCTAAAGTGACGCTAACTCGACATGAAAACACACATCACTCATGATACCCGACACCATAGTCAATAACCCGCTACAAGAATAAGAATCATACACGGCACACTACAGAAACAAACAGATACCACGCTCAAACGGTCAACCACATAAACTGCACTCTACGGCGGCTACTAAATAATAGACTGTCATTGAAATCTAACTAGACACCCGAGTCATACATCCCAAACGACCTTCTTGATGAATTGACAGATCCCTTTGTTCTGACATTATCGTCATTACCATCATTATCCCCATTACCCGTCAGACCAAACACCAATCAAAAGAAAACATGAATATAATGCTAGAATTAAGTGCAATTACATACCTTTGACTACAAGGGGTCCCTCTGGTGACTTAACCGTAGAAACAACCGGACTGACTATACGATCCTGAGTCTCCCATCCCTATAACTCTCCAAGCTGAACACCAAACTGTGATACTGAAGGTCGAGTTAGTCCTTGCCCTGAACCTACCCCACCAACTGGAGCTCCACCTTTCTTAGGACAATACTTCTTCCTATGATAAGGCTGACCACATTTAAAACAAACCCCAAAACTAGGCCGACTCCAAGGGCACTCTGCTTTTAAATGACCTGTCTGCTTGCACCTATAACAAACCCTCTCGACCTTAAAGGACATCTCCAGCGGTGACGTAAAAACAAAATGAGAATGAGATGAATCACCCTTTAACATCTTTTATACATGACTCTCGAACAACATCTCCACCTCTTTAGCCTGACTCCACTTACCCCATCTCCCTGTCTCTCCGTAACCACATTTCTCTCCGACTGTACAATCGACCTCTGAGTCTCTCTGACTATCGCATGTACAAAGTTTGTCATGGCCTCAACCAAATTCTTAACCAAAGAATCCCAATCAAAGAGCTCGTTCTGCTCCCCACCATCATCTGCCTCTCTACGTCTCTTCGGAGGCATAACTCTAAAAATAATAAAAAAGGGAGTCAAATACAACACAACTATGTGACCCAAACTCAAAACTTTGAAGACTCACGTAACTCGAAACTGAAATACAACACTTAAGAACAGACCAAACAACTCACCCCATAGAATCGTGCCCTTCCCAAGCGTATACACCCATCACAAAATCGTATATAAAGCCACATACTGACCAGTTCTAAGTATACATGACGTACGATACCATCATCATAACTTAAGCCTATAATGGGTGATCAAGTCATAATTTCTTAACAAGGAAACACATAACAAATAAACATACTTTCACTTAACATATACGCTTCATTTACATATACCGACATTTAGACACGTAAGCACATAGCACTACAACAAATTTGGTCTTTGGTGACAAACGAATTTGTCGCTAAAAGTACATATTTTGTCGCGATAAGATTATCACGACAAAAAAAAATTTGTCACTGGTTTGTCACTAGAAGCCGGTCACAATATGTTTTTTGTGACAAATGTTGATTTGTCACTACAGGTGAGATATATTGTGACAAAATATTTTGTCACAAAATGAATAAAAATTGTGACAAAATATTTGTCATAAAATATTAAAAAATTGTCGCCTTAAAACCTCCAAACCTATGAAATTTGTCGCTGTTTGTTACTATTTTGTGACGAAAGCAATTTTTGTCACTATATATAATCTTTTGTGACAAAAATTGTCACTATAACCTATTTTATTATGACAAAATCTTGTCACAATATACATCCTATGTTGTGACAAAAATATTGTCACTATAACCTACTTTATTGTGACAAAAGTTTTGGTCACAATATATATAATATGTTGCGACAAAATTATTGTCAATATAACTAGATTTATTGTGACAAAAATTTCGTCACAATATATAGGGACGTGTTGCGACAAAATTATTGTCGATATAACTAGTTTTATTGTGACAAAAAATTTCGTCACAATATATAAGGACATGTTACGACAAAATTATTGTCGACATAACTAATTTTATTGTAACAAAAAATTTCATCACGATATGTAGGGACATGTTGCGACAAAATTATTATCGATATAACTAGTTTTATTGTGACAAAAAATTTCGTCACAATATATAAGGACATGTTGTGACAAAATTAGTTGTCGTTATAAGTTATTTTATTGTGACAAAATTAGTTGTCGCAATATATATATTATGTTGCGACAAATAAATACAGTGACAAGGTTAAATATTGTGACAAAATAAATGTCACAATATATATACCATGCTGCGACAATATTTTGTCATAATATATCTATCGTGTTATGACAAATATGTTGTCACTATAAGTTAAATATTGTGACAAAATAATATATCGTGCCACTAATACAATAATATAATTTTGTTTTCACCTATTTGAAATTTAGAACCTATAAATTAAAATATTAATAAACTAGACAATCTAAACCAAGCTCCAAGCATATCACTCAAAATAAATATATTTGATAATCAAACATAGAAGATAAAACACATATTCTATTAAGAATTTAAATATTAGAATGTGCAAATCATCTAAAATAATAATTCCAGCACATATCAAAATGTTATAAATCCAATATTACACAATGCTAATCGCATAGACATCAAAATCCCAAAAGAAATCGGAATCCAAAAGGGGAGCTAGATTGCAATCAATGTGAAACCTGCAAAAATAAAAAAATAAAAAATAAGAATAAGAACAAATGAGATTAGAATTTAAAGGCTGAAATAAAATTTTAAAAATTATTTTAGAGAACTTGATATCCTGGTGAGAACACACTACTAGAAAATAGGATTTTTACAACCATAAAAAGTTAGCCTCGTTAAGTACTAATTTAAGCCTCATGTTTTGAGGAAGCCATTACATATTATATCTACGGCTTGCACTTAATTGCCTATTCAAATTTTTTTTTTTTTTTTTTGTTTAAAAAAACCTATATTTTTAATTATAGCGACCTATTTGTTGCATTGTCAATGTTGAGCCAAAATTTAATTTAAATTAACATCATTCCCTTCCTATGCCTTGTGGAAAAAAGATTCCTACACCGTAAGTCCACTAACTCAATGTCAGCACTCACTATTACAATTAGCTACTATATACAAATTCAACAACTCTAATTTCTTCTAGAATCCATCTCTAAGGCCATAAAAATTCTAAATCATTCATTCATTGACAGAAAGCTTAGTGAGGTCCACATTGGGAAACAATCAGGTGTTCCACTATTTTTCCATTCAACCATTGGGTGATCATTTCTTTGAATCAGGAATATGCTCTATGAATTTCCTTCCATTATTTTTGGATGTTGAAACAATTAGTTAGATGAAGACAATATCTTTATGAGTTTTTAGCCTTATTATTCCCTATAGCATTTTTTTTTCTTCGAAGATTTTCAAGTTTTCACAAATTCACTGGAGTCAATCTACTGTACAGGTAAGATATATAATTTTTTTCCTTTTTTTTTTTTGTGGTTGATTTATATTTGGTCAACGCTGAAGCGAATTTTATATTAATTTTGTTGATTTATATTTACAATTAACAACCAGGCCTGCATGATTGATCCCATTAATATACCTCATGGAATGAACTTTCTTATGAGTGATGAACCTAAGCTGTTTGAGTGCTCCTATATGCTTATAAATTGGTAAATCACTTAAAAAATAGTTGCTTGACTTGATAGTAATTTTTCCTTTAATATAAGGAAATCTTCCAAAAAATTTCTAATTATCAACTAATTGATAATGTTCTCCAAGCCATTGCTTTAGGGAATTAATTTATTGTGGTTGTAACAGAGGTGCTGAAATGAATGCACACATGAGAAAGACCTAATTCAAATGGTTTGTTCATATACAACAAAGATAACTAATCACACTAGCTAGGAAGACTCTTCTTCTCACACACAGACACAACTAAACTACTAATTTTTGGAAACAAAAGAAAATTAATAAATTACTTTATATTTTAACTTTAAATAGTGCATTAATCTGATTTTATATGGATCACAAATTGATTCAAGAACATTTTAGTTAAAATAAAATAAAATATGACTTTCATAACTAATTTGTTACATGTAACGTCACTCTTTTAACGTTTAGCAAAATGTAATGGGGAGGATTGCAAATGTTTGAATTGATAAGTTGAGGAAGATTTGTTGCCAAGTCTTTTAACAAGTTGTTTAATATGTAAACTATAATCTCTTCAGCATGTTTCAGCCAGGAATGGAACTGTGTGATCATCTATGATGCAAAGTATAATTACTATGTTTCATTGCCTTTTTCTAGGTAATATCATTATTGTTATCCCATAAAATGTACTGGAAAAAAACCAAATTATGATTAACAGAAGTTACCAGATTAACCATGGAATTATCCATATACACATGCAATTCTTTTCTTTTTTTCTTTTCTTTTTTTTTTTTTTTAATCACTCTCAGTCTCACCTAGGGTATGAATGAACTTTTTGTTGCACTACAAAGTTTTAAAGATAAGAGATTCAAAATTCTCTCTACATATCATATATCACATATGTATATGTATGTGTATATGGATACATTTGTGCTGCATTAATTAATTGCATAATTTTATTTCGTAATTTCATCAGATCATATCTGAGTTTGTTTCGATCTTCTAATTGTCTCCGGTACATTAAGTTTAATCTTCGTAGATTTTTTTGATCATGAAGATTTAAAATTGACAAGTACAAGACAATTTCATCCCTAATCTACACCATCACGGAAGTGCACCAGGTAGACAAAGGTTTTCGATGAGTTCTTCAACTTCATCCCTCATTGTTGAGTTTTATTTTGAGTTTGTACTTTTTAGTTTTGATGTTGTGAGTTAGATTGTGAGAATATGATCTGATGCTAAAATTGAGGTTAGATTGAAAGAATATGAATCTAATGTAGAAATTGAGGTTATATATATATATATGCATTATTAAGATTTATATGCATTATTAAGATTTATCAAGTTCTCTTGTAGGTTTTTCAAACATCTTAAGTTTCTGAATGTCTTGTACTTTGGTAGGATTTGGTTAATAGTTTTTATTTGGATTGGTTTTGCCTAAATTCTAATACTTGTAAGTATTATTCACATCAACATATAATGTTAGCACACTGAAAAAATTAAATAAACTGGGCAGTGGGGCAATTTAAATGGGAGCGGGGATAAACGACGGGAGCTACGGTTATTGGTATGTGCGTGCGAGTGTAGTTTTGATTATGATGCAGCGTCTTTGATCTTCTGTGCTCTGTTATTTGTTACTTTTTATTTGGGTTTGATCTAGCAAGAGGTAGCCCTGCTTGTCAGTTGGCTTCACTCTATGTTGAATTTTCTATAATTTTTTGAATAACCGCTGCATAGAATTATTCTTTAGCTGAGCATTGTTGTTCCAATTTTTGTTTTAACCTTATTAATCGTGCCCTATGGTCTTGGGGCATGACAGGTTTTGTTTTCATCTTCCAAGTTGTCGATTTTGTTCAGAATAAATATTTCTTATATAGCTTTGTTTCATTTTCTACATTCAACATGTCTCTCCTAGTGGAAGTAATATGTTACTAATGTGTTTTAAAAAAAAATCTTGATTTGTACAAGTAAAGGCCCTAACATCTCAAAATTTCATTTGAACTACCTGGGAATGGTAAGCGGATTAGAAACGTTCTGTGGACAAGCCTATGGAGTAAAGTAGTATCATATGCTTGGCATTCACATGCAGAGAGCTATGCTTGTGGTTGTGCTACTGGGGATTCCTATATCAGTCATCTGGGCCTACTCAGGATACGTTCTCACTAGCTGTGGACAAGACTTAGCGATTTCAACACAAACGAGGATATATGCTGGTTGGTTGATTCCCATCATTTTCCCTTATGGCATCCTCTAGTATTTTTGGTCTCCCCTAATTCTCTTCCAAAGGCAAAATGGCACTAATTTTAATAGATTGCTAATATGTTGATAGAATTATTAGCCTCATTGTTAAGTTACCAGGTTAGGTAATTAAAAAATAGTTGAACATATCATTTATCCATTACTTATTTAATTTAATTCTATTATAGGCTTTGTAGCCCCATTAGTTTTGTCAATACCCAATCTTGACTCTTCAACACCTAGAAACTAGAGTAAATAATGTTTGTTCCTTGTATTTTAGGGAGACTTCCTATTCTAATTTTATTTCAAAACCATATACAAGACAAACTTTAGCAAGCACTAGAATAATAACGCTATTTTGAGAAATTAAACATAATTATCAACTAACAGAATTGTCACACCTAAAGTATAAGATTTGATTTAATTCTTGGGAGAGTTATGGAATTAGAGTGAGCCTTTACCTAAGAAGCACGGACACGGATACGGGACACGGATACGACACGACACGGACACGCGACACGGCAAATCCAAAAAAATTAGGACACGGACACGGCGAATAGTATATATATATATATATATCAGCATTAATAATTTTTTAAAAAAAACACTGATATGTTTAGGTTGGAATATATATATATATCACTAATACGTTAGTGTATATATATATATCAGCATCTTTAAGACACGGACACGGCGAATTGTGGCATCTTTAGGTTAGTATATATATATATCAGCATCTTTAGGGTAGTACAAAACAAAAAATAGAACATATCAGCATTAAAAAATTTAAAAAAAAAAAAAAAAAAAAAAAAAAATCCAGAAAAGTGTGTCCGAGCCGTGTTTGAGCCGTGTCCGAGCTGTCTGAGCCGTGTCCGAGCCGTGTCCAAGCTGTCTGAGCCGTGTCCGAGGCGTGTCCCAGCCGTGTCCCAGCCGTGTCCGAAAATTAAAAAAAAATCCAGACACGTTTTTTGGCGTGTCCGACACGTGTCGGGGCGTGTCTGACGCGTGTCCGTGTCAGACACGTGTCGGACGCGGATTCTTCGCCCATTTTGGAGTGTCCGTGCTTCCTAGGCCTTTACAGACTTTGGATTGATTTCTTGAATCAATTAGTCTGGCATAACTTCCTACGAAGTAAATTACTAACTGATGTCATACACCAGATGAAAGTTAGGCCTAAGCATAATAGTAAAGTCCCGAGAATATCAGATCTTAAAATTCAGTAGAAAAGAGAGTCTTACCAAGACAACAAACAGAAGCACGTTAAAGATTGCAACCACCCTCCATTTAGTTTTCATGCATTGTGCAACTCCAACCCTGAAATTATAAAAAGTAATTCATGTTTTAGACTCTTAATTAATCTATTGAATTTTTTTTTTTTTACCTATTTTAAAAACCATGAATTGTAATCTTAAAGTTGATATTTGTTGTAGTACCTAACCAGACAGAGATCAATGAAGATGCTTTTTTGCCTATTTATATCAATATCGCACATGAAAAATAGGGAATAAAAGAGAAAGAAAGATGCTTTAATTTGTTCACTTAATATTTTGTCCCTCTCTTTTTATTCCAAGACATCTCGAGGTCTTCTTCTATATAAATACTTAATCTAACAGTAACTCTAAATTAGATGGTGGGGAAAACAAATTATAAACTTTAATTATAAATGTAACTTACTAAGTGGAATAAGTAGCACCAATAGAAGAGATCTGCAAGGCTAAAAATTGTTGATCCTATATGAAAAAATTGGTGACCTGAGATTGCAAAAAGGTAATTGACATGAGACTATGATAACATGCAATCATTGATTAATTAAAAGGAATATAACATTGTATTAAATAGCTTACATTAATCTTGGGCTATTAGCTTTTAAGATCTTGTTATACGTTTGTTTTTTAAGTTAGATTGAAGAAGCTAAGACACTTGTTCAGCTGGGGTACTCAAATAATTACACTCGCTATAACCTGAAAATGCCTTCAGACAAGTAATGAAATTTTTACTAATTTTCTTGTATGATATTGTGTGTTGAATCCTTGTGTTAGTTAGACAAGCGGGAAGGAATTTTGCTGCATTTTGGAGATCTAGTAACTAGTTAATTTTTATTAAATGCTGGAATTGGCATTAAATAAATTGCAAAATGGTCTTTTATTTTTTGTCATACTTAATGTAATCCCTTTTCTGACTCATCTTAAGCTTCTCATGGTGCAGTCAAATTTGCTTTACTGTGATAAATTTATATTTGTTGGTCTTGACACTAAATTGATTCACTGATGCAAATTTTGGCATGTAAGTTAAAATGATTATTTGGTTTTATGCTTGTTTATATTGTAAATTACTTTTTCTTGTTGTTTTGGTGTTAAACAGGTTGCATGGTAGCATTTATCTGGTTGTTAATAATTTAAGGTTTAACATATTTTGTATCTTTAACATGCAATTTTTGTTTCTAGTTTATGAAGATAGAAATCAGAGAGAACTTGTACTTTGTATAGTTTAACTGGTAATTTGCATTGTGTATGCTTAGGTTCCAGAAATTCAAATGGACATTGGGTTGAGATGGTCTAAGACAGGCAGTTTTGTGTTTATTTATTCAATTTTTTTATTTTTTATTATTATTTTTTTTTTTAATGCAGCAATACATCTTGTTTCCAATTTTCAGAAGCTTTGATAAAATTCTATAACTTAATCCCACTCTGTTGTTGACTCAAGTGTAATCTAGAAACTATTATAATTGATTCGCCCTTATATATATGTACTTTTCTGAAGAAGGGAATCAGATCAAGTGAGGTAATATATAGTATTTCTTATCGAAGTTGGTATATTATGCGTGATATTATCTTCAATCTATGACTAGATCAACAAGCATTATGTGCGCACGAGAGCTGCTGTCATTAATGACATAATATTGTGGTTACCACAATAATTGTGTTGGTTTGGCCTCACCTTTTTGTTCATAACTTCACGTCCAGATAATTGCATTTATTAGCTCAGTAATGTTATAAACCAAAATCAACATACAATAAGATCAACTAGAATAGAGAAACAATCACACTACTTGTCTACTAGCACTTTCGGTTTTTAGTGAAAGCAATTATTTGACTTTGTCAAGTCAGTAGGACTATAAGTTGACATTTTTGTTCAAAACCAAGTCTGCATATTTATCTTTTCTTCTTTTTTTCATTTTCTTTCATTTTCTTTTCAAAAATATAAATTTCAAGAGTTACTTTAGTTAGTTAGGTCAAGTTTACCTTTGATCCAAAGCCCGTGAAGATTTAAGAGATCAACAAGCATAAGAGGTAAAATTATCACTAAAATATCAATCTCTCTAATTAAGGTTTATAGTAATGCATTCATATTAGATTGTTGGGCATATATGTTTATTCCGTAAAAAGGTGTTTGAAATGCATAGAAACTGTGTTTGATTGAGAAGCTTAAGTTTCATAGTATAGATTTGATTGTAGGTTTTATTGATGAATCAGTTGAACTCTGCAAACATCAGTTTTCTATTTGGTTTTAAATATCTTAAACTGTAATTTCTCCCATCCTAAACTCTATATAAGCAATCCCAATGTCCTATAACATATATACGCAAATTCATAGCTATCAACCATTCTTTTGAGAGCATCTAGGATTATTTTGCTTTCTTTCAGCATCACCACATGCATACTTGTCATATGATGGTGACCCTGAGTATACAAGAACAAAAAACAATCTTATGCTGGAGAATGTTGGTCCCCTTGAGGAATGGGTTCGTTATTGACAACAGCAAAATCCAGGTGGAGAATCTGTCGTGAATTTAAGATAAGGGTGATTCTAGGGTAAAACCCTAATGCCTAGAGTTGTAACATTTTTCTTAATAGCAATCGGTTCTAGGTGAAGTAGGTCTAATATTTTTTCTCCCTTTATGTTTTTTCATGTAATTTGGTGCTTTGTGTGGATTGTTCTTTTCTTTGATTTCTGCATTATTTCTTATTGTGGTGATTGGTTGATATTTTAAATTTTTGTCAACTTCCTAAACAAAAATTAATAGAATTATTCACCCACTCTCTAGGTCAGGGTATAGTGACTCTAAGGTATCAGAACCTAGGTTGTCGACTTCCCCAACTCCACGAGCCTCTTTTCAATCTTCAATCTTCAATCTTCAATCTTTATACATCTTAATAAATCCATCTAACATTAGCTGCCCTGTTTTTGTAATTATTTTTTGTACTTGTAATTTTTCTTTTTGTTCTTTTTTTTTTTTTTCTTTGGCTTTGAATCTTTATCTAATTACTTTTTATAATTCAAGTAGATTGGACAAAAGAAGCATTTAAACTGTTGTAATACAGGGCTTTCTTATATGCCTCGTTCATATGTTTTTGGCCCCATTTTCCCCCTTTTTAATAGATTAACACGCTACAGGAAGTTTTCTAAGTGAATGCTATGACTAGTTATTTTAATGTTTAGGAACCTTTCATGAGTTAGCGTGTGACTCAACTGTTGTTCATTTCTAAAACTTTGAACAAACTTAAACAATTGACTTAAGCAAAACTTCTTGTTCACTTTTAAAACTTTAATAACTTTGTTGCACTCTTCAAGAGTAGATGTTATCATGAATCGATTACTTATTTCATTTAGTTTTTCATTTATTTTTGAGTTTTTAAGGTCCTTTTTTATTGGATTAATCTGCTTGTGCTTACAAGAGACTCTTCCCTTTATTATTGTAGAAGATAGGATAGCCCCTCTATATAAGGAGAATTATAAACTTCATTAACTCTTCTTATACTATGAAGCCTAAAATCAACCTTTGCAATAAACGAGGCATCTGCTGAAAAAGTTGAAATGGGGCTGAAGAAGTTGTTATTGGGCTTAAGTTTCTATAAATGGTGGTCATATGATATAATTGTTTTATTTGAACTTATAACTGTAAGGATGTTAACATCAAACTTTAAACAACTCAAGTTCTACGGTTCACATCTTAATGCTCAGAAATGTTGAGCAAGTTTTATATACCGCTCACATCTTAATACTCAGAAATGTTGAGCAAGTTTTATATCCCGCGCATTTTACTAGTGTTCATGAGTGGTTTTTGCTGACTCTGTACTTTATACAATGGTGATAATTCTATAATAATTGTTCAATATCCTATATTTAAAAATGCAGTGGCCAGGGACAGTACTAATCTCTTTGATTTTGCAAATCTATTATTATTATTTTTTTTATTTCGTTATGGCATTTACAATGAGGACATGATTTAATAAGAGGGTAAATCTATCTCATATAGGAATGAAATTAAGCAAAGGAAGAATTCATGGCAAGATGGAGTGTTGGGGACTAATTGCCTTATCCTTCCAAACACAAATTTCACATACAAGTTCCAGACCAAAGATTAGATTGGAAGCTACACATACTTCCCATCGATTCTGATGCACAAAGCTGCTGGAAGGTTTGGGGGAATAAATTTCTATGCAAGACCTCAAATCCCAGCTCCATATACTTTACCTACTGCAGATTTTACTTTACTTATTGGGGATTGGTATAAGACCAGCCATAAGATGAGGATAATACATATAAATTATGTTTACACGTTTCTGATATATTGATTCTCAAAAATGTATTCTCAATCTATGCTTATTTAAAAGAATATATCGAAAAATTGACCCAATATAAAGAAAAAATAAAATTGATTAAACATAAAATACCTGATTAATTTGTTGCGTTCAATCAAGCTTGAATAGAGCTCAATGAAATTTTATTGGTCGGTTTCTTGCATCCTCAATGCTTCCAACAATTCCACTCTAGGGCTTCAATTAACTGATAGATTTTGAGAGCGAGAATCAATCAGATTGAAAAATAAACTGGGTTCAACTTTTTTGCGAAAAAAATTGTTTAGATTAGGGCTTCAAAAAAATTGTGCGGGTTATTTTTGGCCAGACGCGTATATATTTCTAGAGTGATTGGGTGGTCTCTACGAGTGTGTGTGCGCGTGCGTGAGAGAGAGAGAGAGAGAAAGAGAGAGAGTGTGTGTGTGGGAGAACACAGACGCTGGGCGGGTGCATTTGGTGGGCCCAAAAATTTGGCAAGTTTCAAATTCATTTTTATGGCTAAATAATTTTTTAAATAAAATAAATTTGTATATTTATATTATTTATAATTATAGAGTAATAATAAAGTAATAGTATATTTTAAGGGAGATTGATATTCTCATTCCATTTTTCTCTAATTGCATTATATTTACCTTTTTCTTTCATAGGAAATGACAAGAAAATAATTGAATTCATTAATGCACGATCCCAGAATTTATAATGTCATAACTATCCTCTTTTTTTTTTTTTTTTTTTTTTTTTTTTTTTTTTTTTTTTGATACAATTGAAAGGGATATTTATTCAACAAAGTTAACTTATTTTTAGTCAAAAGAACCTTTTTTTTTTGACAATTTTTTATGGGTCTTGTCAAAATAAATAATTTATTTATTTTTCCTAAATGAAAGAATTAATTTATTAGATAAAAATAACCTCTTTTTTTTGGTCTTATCAAAAGAGATAATTTATTTAATATAGATAAAAAAAAAATTATTCTTTTTTTTTCTTTTGGGTATATTGACAAAAAATATAATTTCTTCAATAAATATTTTTTTCGGGTTTTTTTTTCATATCAAAATAGATAATTTTTTTAATGGTTACTTTTTTTTTGGTCAAGTTAAAAGAGTCAATTTATTCAACATAAATTTTTATTTCTTGGTCCCGTAAAAAAAAATATTTATTCAATTAATTTTTTATCTTGTCAAAAAAGACCTAAAATAATAAAGATTAGAGATAAGAAGAGAAAATCTAAAATGACAGTTTTATAATTTAAAAATTAATAATTATTTACTTGTAAAGTTAGGGTTAGATTTACTATTTCATTTAATAATTAAGTGCAAACGTTGAAAAGTGTAGTGCAGATATTGCCTCCCTATTTTAAACTATAAATCTTTAGACAAGAGTCTATTTACTAATAAAATTAACTAAATATATTTTTTTAATTAAATAAAATTGTTATTAATATATTAATTTTAATGAAAACATATATCACCTATTCCACCTTTGGAAGACCCTAATGCACACCACAAGTCTGATCCAATATATATATACTGGTTATATGTAATAGAGTTTTATAGAAAATAAAATAGGTAATTTGTGGTACAGTTTTATAAAAATTATTTTATTTTCTTTAAATATATCCTTGTCTAATTAGATTTCTTTTTATTAAAAAAAACTCATAATAAATAGATAAATTTATGTTATATGTGATAGAATTTTATAGAAAATAAAATAAGTAATTTATGGTAGAGTTTTATAGAAACAAATAATTTTTGGTAGAGTTTTATAAAAATTGTTTTATTTTCTTTAAATATATCCTTATCTAATAAATAGATAAAGTTAATTTTATAGAAATTATTTTATTTTCTTTAAATATGTTCTTGTCTAATTAGATTTTCTTTTATTAAAAAAATTCATAATAAATAGATAAATACTGTATGTGATAGAGTTTTATAGAAAATAAAATAGATAATTTGTAGTAGAGTTTTATACAAATAGATAATTTGTTGTAGAGTTTTATAGAAATTATTTTATTTTCTTTAAATATATTCTTGTCTAATAAATAAATAAATAGATAATTTGTGTTTGGGTGGTAATTAATTTATGGTAGAGTGATGAATGTAGGTTTTTGGGTTCTGTCGACACTTCGTGCAAAAACAAAGAAAAACCTACAAAGACTAAATTAAATATTTTAGGCTTTAGAGTAATACTGTCCTCAATAGCTAAAATACCAACCCTATAATACCCCCTTATAAGAGTATATATATGACCCAAATTTGGATTTATTTATTATTATTATTATTTTACATGGTTCTTAGGATTTTATTTTTTATATCAATTACCTTAAAAATTAATTCTTATAAAATCATCTCTCATTAATTAAAAGACAATTGATTTAATTCAATCAGTGACTTACTAACAGGAACGGAGCCAGCATTTCAAGTGAAGGGGGCGCACTGCCAAAAAAAAATAATAATAATACGGAGTATATATATATATATATATATATATATATATATATATATATATATATATATACACGCCTAACAACTATAAAATTCAAAAGGAAAGAAAGAAGAAAATTATTCAAATATGCAGGTTAAAAAGAAGAATTTTAAAAGTAGAAATAGAAAAAGAAAAAAGGAAAGAAAAATTAAAGAACTTTAAAAGGAAAAAGTTAAAAAGTTTCAATTGAAGAAGGAAATTTTGACTTTTCTTTTAAAAAAAATTTAAAGAATTTGAAGAGTAAAAGAAAAAATAAAGAGATAATTTTAGGAACGACAAAATTTAGGGGGGCACTGTATAATTTTTATAATTTTTTTTAATAGATTGATCAACGTTTACTCAATGATCGATGATAGAAAAGTAGGCATGACTTGCTATAAAATTTTAATTAATTAAAATATATATTTGTAAAGACCGTTTGAAAAGTTTAATTACCAGCTATTACTCATAAATGTATTTATAAAGACTGACACTTAAATTTTTTAACTATTAATTATATAATGTATTTAATTAATATATAATTTATGTTTTAAATTTGGCCATTATGCAAAAAATAAGAAAAACAAAATTCAAAATTTATCTAAAATAAAAACATTTTGCTAGAAAAGTTATAAATATTTAAATTTCATTAAAAAAAAAAAAAAAAAAAAAACAATTTTTTTAGTTTAGGACATTAAATTCCATGACACAAATAGTTTTGTTTTTTAAATAAATATTCTTCAACAATGTTTTGCTTGGTAAGAAAGAAAAAAATTGGCATGTGCAGTTCGCTTGAACAACGGGCGATTAGCGATGGAAAAGAAGTTGCAGAGACTAAAGACAATCTGATATAGTGATATGCGGCGTATGCTGATATGGGTTTTGAACTTTTGATTCTCACAGTTACAGAAGCTAGAGAAAGATATGCATGTTTGGTTTGTAACTTTGAAAACAATTCTCAAGAATTCATAGAATAGAAAACTGTTTTTAGAGAACTATAAAAGACAATTATCTAAAAATAGGCCTTTTTATAACTATGTTTTCAAAAACCGGTTCTCAGAATACTTAACCGAAGAGAATTTTTATTCAGTTTTCTATTTTTAATTTTCTAAAAATAGAAAACTGTTCTCATAGTTACAAACCAAGCAGACCCTATGAGTTTGCTTGATTTGTAATTCTGAAAACATGTTCTCAATAATTTAGAGAACAATAAAAGACAGTTCTCTCAATGAAATGTTTATTTATTTATTTATTTTACTTTTAGGATATTCCTAAAAACATATCCAATTAGGGGTGTATACGGTTCGGTTTGGACCGTTTTGAGAGTTTTTTGAAACCAAACCATTTCTAACAGTTTTAGAAAATTTAGAATCAAACTAAACCATTTGACCAAAGAAACCGAATTATGTATATTCCTTTTCATGATAATCCTTAACTAATTAAATTATATACACACACACACACATATATATATATATATATATATCAATATATATATATATATATATATATATATATATTTCCTTCCATAATAATAGTGCAAAGATAATTATTTAAATATCTTTATAACCATGGGCTTTATTAATTAACCCAACAAGACTTCCTTCAAGCCCAAGACCACATCCATTGGTCACACTCCTCTTAAGCCCCATCCAACTAAAATAAAACAATTAAATTAAATCTAATAATTACAAATAATTAACAAACAATTCACGCAAACATAAATACACACGAATCAAATAGACAATTTAATCATAACATTCCACAAAGCAAAGCATCATATCAACTCAACAAATATACTAACGAAATATAATCTAATTAAAATAAGATAATTAATTTAAGCACTCAATTAAATAAAACAAATCATTTTAAAAATAAAATAAAAATAATTAATCTCAATTAATAAATCCTTTATATATATATTCTCTTATTTAAATTTAAATATGAATTATACAAATTACCCTTTAACTTTATTATTAGAATTAATTTATCATTAAAAAAATTATAACTACCATTTTATAAAATGATTAACTTATTATTAGAACATTGGGACATTTTTGGCAATAGATGGTATTAGGCACAAAATATAATTTAAGGGGGTTATTTGCAAATTCAAACATAGTTCAGGGAATTTTTTGTACTTTACCATATATTTATATATATATATATACACATACTTTTATATATTAAAAACATACATTATGAGAAGTTTTAATTTTTCTTATTATTTCTCAAACAAGTATATGATGACAAAAGGCCAATTTATGACAAGAATTTACTCTTTTGTGACGAAATATCCTTTGTCGCTAAACGATAGAAATTGGAATTTGTCACTAAAAATCTATCAATTGTGACAAAGCTATATTTGTCACAACAAGTGAATCTTTTGCGACAATAATCATTTGTCACTAGAAGGTTGTTTGTAGCAACAAGAATTTTTGTCGTTAAAATGCCATCAATTGTGACAAAGCTATATTTGTCACAATAAGTCAAACTTTTGTGACAATAATCATTTGTCACTAAAAGGTTGTTTGTAGCGACAAGAATTTTTGTCACTAAAAATCTATCAATTGTGACAAAGCTATATTTGTCACAATAAGTCAATCTTTTATGACAATGATCATTTGTCACTAAAAGGTTGTTTGTAGGGACAAGAATTTTTGTCACTAAAAATTTATCAATTGTGACAGAGATATATTTGTCACAATAAGTGAATCTTTTGCGACAATAATCATTTGTCACTCAAAGGTTGTTTGTAGCGACAAGAATTTTTGTCGTTAAAATGCCATCAATTGTGACAAAGCTATATTTGTCACAATAACTCAATCTTTTGCGACAATGCATTATTTGTCGCTAGAAGGTTGTTTGTAGTGACAACATTTTTGTCGTTAAAATGTCATCATTTGTGACAAAGCTATATTTGTCACA